GTTCTCGAAAGTTCTTACCAGAAAGTTCTTAATATGGAATTACCCCAATGAGCGATGGTTAATTTGGTTCTAATGTAACATTGTCAATGAACAAGTCATCAGCTTTGGCAAGGAAAGTCCTTCAATGATGTCCTTCATTCACAAAATATTAATGAAGTCCTTCATTCACTAAATATTTATGAGCACCTCCTTTGTGCCTCACACTGTGCTAGACTGTAGGGACACAGAGTGGACAAAGCAGACAAGGGCTCTGCCCTTATGAGGTTTACCCTCCACTGGAGAAGTGTGTGAATTTGGGTTTCCCCAGAAGCAGACCCTGGGACAATGATTCCAATGCAGGTAGCTTATTGAGAAGTGCAGGAGATACCAGTAGGAAAGGGTGCAAGTCATGCAGAGGGAACGCAGCTCATAAAAAGTTTGTTATTAAACCAGTTATTGCAGGTAGTATTGGAGCTGAATCCTGAAAGGGAAAATCTAGGAAACGGTATAAAAAAAACAGCATGCTTCAGAACCATTACATCCAAAGGCAAGGCAGCTGGTGTCTATAGACAATCGCCCAAGAGTCACTGGCTGAGGGCTGCTGTGGGTTGAGACAGGAGGCAATTCATCCCCTGCGCTTCTGGCCTACCCCCAGAGGTGGCAAAGTGGCCTTCTGCATCCTGGAAAAATGCCCTCAGACCAAAATACAGATATGGGCATTGAAAGCCAGCTGCAGCGGATTGAAAACTCTGGGGACTGACAGCATTGGCTACAGGGAGACAGATAATGAAGATGTAGTGAAGTACAAGTTAATTACAGAGAATGACAACCAGAAGAAGGAAAAAATGAGGACATTTGATTAACTGTAATTGGGATTGGGCAGGGAGGCGGCTGCTGCTTAGGTGGAGTAGGGAGGTCGGGTGAGGATGGTAAAAGGCCCTCCATGGTGAGTGTCAAGGGAAGAGACTTAGACCCGCCATGTGCAAAGTGCGGGCCACAGCTGGGGCCAGTCCAGGAGCTGCTTGTGACCCATTTGAGACAAGGTAAGCACAAAAATTGAGAGTATTTCTAAATGTAACCATTTAGAAATGGCTACAGCAATTTGACATTGCCACAACCTCCTAGCCTGTAGTGACCAACTTGTCTTCTTGCATGTGGTGTAGACCAGTTTGGGTGTTATCAAACCTGCATGGAAAGTCGTGCACGGCAGGATAGTGTTAAATACATGACATTTTAAGTTTGGTTTGTCAACTATAATCTAAAAATCCGAGGAAAGTAGGCACTTATTTTTAAAACTTGCTATTTTCAATCATTTTCATTTTAAAATTTAGGATAACATTATTAGTTAAATTATAGAGGTAAAATTTGTATTGTTTCTTCTTTCAGGTTTATTGAGATGTGATTTACATGCAGTAATATTCACCCTTTTGAGGTGTTTAGTTCTATGAGGTTGACAAATGAATACAGTAACCATCACCATGACCATGACTTAGAGTATTTCCATGGAAAATTCTCTCTGGCCCCTCTGTAGTCCATTTTCTCCCCTGGAAAGCACTCCTCCAACTTCTGTCTCTGCATCTTCTGCCGGAATGCCTTACACATGGAATCATGCGGTATGTGGTCTTTCGTGTCTGGCTTCTTTCACTGAGCATAACGCATTTAAGATTCACCCATTTGTTGCATGTATCAGTACTTCATTCCTTTTTATTGCTGAGTAGTATTCCCTCACATAGATGGACCAGTTTGTTAATTCATTCACTAGTTGATGAACATTTGGGTTGTTTCCAGTTTTGGGTCATAATAAAGCTGCTATAAACATTCACATACAGGTATTTGTGAAAAGAGATGTTTTCATTTCTCTTAAGTAAATGCCAGGGAGATGGTTTGCTGGGCCATATTCATGTTTAACTTTATAAGAAACTGCCAAACTCTTTTCCAAAATGGCGGTGTCATTTTGCATTCCCATTAGCAATGTGTCAGAGTTCTAGCATCCTCACCAGCATGCACTTTGTTCTTAGCTTTTTAAAAACCATTCCAATAGGTGCGTAGTGGTATTTCATTGTGATTTTAATTTACGTTTTCCTAATGATTAATAATGCTGAGCATTTTGTCATATACTTATTTGCCATCTAGATCGCTTCTTTGATGGCATTTCTGTTCAAATCTTTGCCCTTTTTAAAATTGAGTTATTTGTTACTTACTAAGTTTTGAGAATTCTTTGGGTATTCTGGATACAAGTCCTTTATAAGATGTGTTTTCAAATATTTTCTTTCTGCTGTGGTTTGTCTTTCCATTTTCTTACCAGCATCTCTCAAAGAGCAAAAGTTTTTAATTACGACAAAATAAAATCACAGTAGCTATTGTGATTGAGGAAATAAATTTTTAATTTTATTTAATTTTAATGAAATTTAAATAGCCATATGTGGATAGTGGCTACCATATTGGACAGCACAGCATGTTACCGCCTAAATGTACTAAATGAACAATGTGTACATTTTTTATAATTTTTTATTCTATGTTTTGCTTACATTTATTGACATGTAACTTTATGCCTGCTGAATTTAATAATAAAAATTGGGGCTTTCATTCTGTAAATCTTCTTTTTTCTTTTTTTTCTATTAATTTTTATCATATTTTATTAATGTATCAGTCCATGATGTTTTAGAAATTTAAAAACCTGGTCCTTCACCACAGACAGTCTGAGAAGCACTGAGCTAGACAGATGTCATAACATGGACAAAGGCCCTGTCTCCCTGGCTGGGGTATTTTTCCTTGTAAATCCACAAAGTGGCATTCTGGAGAAGGGCTGATGGGGTGAAGGAGTGGGGGCCTATTTTAGATAATGTGGTCAGGGTAACCTCTCTGACATGGTGACGTTTGGGTGGGGGATAGAGCACTCCAAGTGGAGGGACAGAATAACAAAGTTTGGGGAGACTGGGGGAGGGCATGGCATGTTCCGGGAACAGAAAGGAGACCAGTGTGGCCAGATATGAGAATGGAGGGAGAGGGGTGAGAGATGAGCTGGAGAGGAAGCAAAGAGCCAGATTTTACACAGTGTTACAGACTTCCTCTCTTCCCCTCCCACATTATAGATAAGAGTCAAGAACCACAGGCACCCGATATATATAAACAAGTGTGTGAATATGTCTGAATAAAGGCTTTATTCAAAATGTGCTTGAAGAAACAACCAAATGTTATCTTACATTTGGCTTTGGTTGTATAGAAAGAATTATCTCTATGTTTGCAGCCCAGGAAGTGGACAATAATAACTCTCACAAGAATTTAGGGAGTGGGGTTCCCATGCCACAGATTAAGACTTTGAAGCTCAAAATGTTATGTAACTTGCCCAAATCACATGGCTAACAAGAAATAAACTCAAGCTTATGTCCTTTCCACTCTATTTGACTGCCTTTCTTCAAAATGAGCCCAAAACAGCCCTTTTACAAACCTGAAATTTTCTACATTTTAATTTGGTTTTAGTAATGATACAAATGGGCACAAAAATGTAACAATTATAGAGACTTTGCATTTATTTTGAGAATTCCTCCTCTGTCTTAGTTTCTTGAAGCCACTGTAGCAAATTAGCACAAACTTGGTGGCTGAAAATACAAAAATTTATTCTCTCACAGTTCTGGAGACCAGAAGTTCAAAATCAAGGAGTCGACAATGCCACACTCCCTGCGAAGGCTCTAGGGGACAATCTGTTGCTTGCCAATTCCAGCTTCTAGTGGCTCCAAGTGCTCCGTGGCTCATGGCTGCATCATTCCAATCTTGGGTCACGTGGCCTCCACTTCTCTAAGTTTGTCTCTTATAAGGACACTTGTCATTGGATTTAGGGCCCACTCAGATAATCTGGGATGATTTCAACTCAAGATCCTTAATTACACATGCCAAGACTCCTTTTCCAAATAAGATCACATTCACAGGTTCTGAAGATTAGAAGGTGGATGCATCTTTTTGGGGACCACCATCAAGCCCCTCCACCTTCCCTGTGCTTCGGCCTGGAAACTCTCCCCAGGCTGTAAGCTGGACACTTGTCAGGCTGAGTTCGTCCATTTCTTTTCTCCCAGAGGCCACTGGCCTGCACTTGCCTGCTGTCTGAAAACCATTGTTTCAGACATTTTGCCCAGTTTTCTAGTTATTTAAGCAGGAGGGTTGATCCAGTTCCCATTACTCCTTCGTGGCCAGGAGCAGAAGTTGCACCCAAGAGTCTAAGTTCATTGAGTGGGGAGAACTTTTCCGTCTTCTCACAGTGGCATCATCACTGCCCGTAGAAATGACTGGAGCATAGTAATCCTTCCAAGCAGTTGATGAATTAATGAACAAATGAATGAAAAGGAAGTTAACCTAAATCCTTTGTTTTTTTCTTGTTTGGGACCGAGTGGCCACAACTCTTTTTTTTACCTCAGTCAGTTGGGTGAGCTCGAGCCGTCTCTGGTCAGTTGAGTCTCTGCTGGTGTCAATTGAAGTTTCTTCACCAATCCACTCTCAGCCCCTCAGTGTGGCTTTCACGGTTAATGCAAAAATCCAGCCTTGGGAAATTTGAGATTTACCTATGAAGCACATTTTGGGTAATGATTTATGAGAAGTAGGTTCTGCCTGTGTTTTAAATAAAAAGAGCACAGGGCATCTTGTGGGGAGGGGCTGACGAGGGGAAGGTAAGTGGGTAGTAGTGTTGTCACAGGGAACTGAGGCCAGACGATGTGTTGATGGAAAATAAATGATGATGCACGGAGAAAATGAGAGGCAAGAGATAAGAGAGAAGCTTGCCTACTGAAGAACACAAAGTATAAATTATATCAGTCCATATTAAAACACATGTGGTCATAGATGAAGAAAAATGGTTTCTGCTTTCGTTTCCACATTCACACACTAATTAAATTTAAAAAGAAAACAGTTATTACCATTATCAATAGCATTTATGAGAGCATCTGCTATATGGCTGTTTGACTTTCTAAAAATCTGATTGTGTCTTGAATGAAGAGCTTTGCTAGTTTGTTTTGAATTTATTATATCAGATTTTTAGTGACAAATATAAAATAATAGACACTTGTTATAATAAGCCTAAAAATACAGAGGTAGATAAAGAACAAGTTAGAAATCTCTTACTTTAATTGCAATCCCCTGAGAACCAATATTAACAGTTTAGTGTGTATCTTTCTACATCTGCCTCAGCATTCTTATGAACATATGCAAATATATTTACATATACAGTGGGTGGTTGCTGGTTTTATAAAAATGTGAACAAATGAAATATATAACATTTTTTTTCATTTAACAATAGATTAGAAACATTCCACCAGATAAATATACATAGATTTACCTCAGATTTTTAAATCTAGAGTATGAATTTACTACCGTTTGTTCAACTGCTCCCCAAATGATGTACATTCTGGCGATTTTCAGGTTTTTGCCACCACCTATCATACTGCACTAAACACCCTTGTGACTGCAGACTGTTTTAATTTTCTCATCATGGATAGCTGAGCATTGAAATATAACCTTTCAAATGCCACTGCCTTCCCCTCATCCTCCCTGTCTTTTGGAGAACGGAGCTGAAGGGAGACTGAAGATGAGCTGTGAAAGCCGATAATTACTCCATACAGCACATGGCCAGCAGCCTCCTGCTACAATATTTACGTCCTATTCCATTGAGATGGCACTCTCTGCTCACATGACCCAAATGCAGTTCTCACTCCATCAGGAACACAGCCGAATCCACACTGCATTGGCAGCTTTGCACATGCTCCGTCTGGCCCTGTGAATCCTCACTCACCCATTGAGATTTCTTTGGGTTTAAAGCAACATTCCAGCTGCAGAAGCTCCGTGACCTCCAGTGTTTTCCTGGTCCAGATCCAAGGCAGGTGGCCCCCCACAAATACTGTTTCTTAGGGTTTGAGCTTTTCTTTGTATTTGTTTGGGGGTGGAGGATGTATAATACTTACACACAAGTATAGCTGATGCATGAGGCCATAAGAAGTAACTCTTTTCCTGGCAGGTATTACAGGAATAACATTCACCTACTTCCATTATTTGCCTTGACAACAACCTGCAGCTCTAATGCATGCTTCATTCTCAAACGGAGGTCTTGGCAAATGACGCTGTATCTGACTTTTGTGTTGACTGTAACGTGTGAGATGGTGTTTTCTCTTCTCTAGGGCCCTGGATGCTTTTTGCCATTCTGATGGTAAATGATGAGACAGGCAACCATGGATTTCAGCACTCCATCTGTCTTTGATCAGCAAAAAGGTAAAAACGCTGCTTTACTGCATCCTTTCGTTCTTTGCATCTTCAGTCCAACAGCAGGGATTTGCAGTTCTAATGGGAAAGAGAGTAGTGTGTGTGTGTGTGTGTGTGATGTGGAAAGAGGATTTCACATAGAAAACAAACCTGTTCTAAATGTTCACTTCTGATTTGATAAGCATTTGGAAGGGGAAAATAAGCTTATGGTCCGCTTGTCTTGTTAAAGTGCTCCTACATACAAATTTTAAAAATTGTTTCAAGCACACCAGCAATTGCAAGTAGTATCATCTTTATTCTCATTAGTTTTTTTTCAAATCTTTAAAAAAATGTATTGGAGTAAGTAATATAAAAGAACAAATCATGTGTCTCTTTTCTACCTATTAACTCCATCTATTAACTATCTATTAACTCAATGTGTCATTGCTATAGTTTCATAAATATGTTTGGATTCCCTTCAGGAATAGATGTTGCCCACATTTACGCTGTCGTTGATAGACTATTTCACCAGAGGTTGTGTAATGACTTCTCACTATGTTATTATTTGCAGTGACAGGATATATCTTTCTTACTCATAATTTCCAGAGTGGAGGTAATTTTCCACATGAAAAGATTGCTGTGAAAACAACCCATCCTCATTAAAAACACTTATTCAGCCATACGGTCTATGTGTGTACATTTTGTTTATGAAGTGTGTATATATACGTACACGGAATACCTAAGTGTAATTAGGCATCTTTTCTATGTATGCTTAGGAAATTTCCCACTTTGTAAATGTAATAAATATTTTTTTTAGGATTTTTTTTTAAATATCTGACATCTAAACCACTTTCTATAGTCTTTCTAGTCTCTGAATTTTCTTCAGAATCCTAAGATCCTTTGGTCATTTACTTGTTTTGGCTACAATGTAAAAATGGTGGTTTGTGAAAGCCTCATTAAGAAAATTCATTGCTTCTTTTTTTTTCCCTTTTCCTGCTCTAGGCCACAGTGTGTTTACCACCCTTCAGGCTACATCTGGTTTCATGGGGGAATTCTCTTAGCTCAGTGCTTTCTCAAATAATAGATTGACGTTTAGATTTCTGAATAACTATGTGTACTTGTGCATATATATATAGTTTGATATCCACGTCCTAACTCATTTTGAAGTGTGTGTGTATGTGCTGGTTCATGCTGCGTTTGGATATGAACACCATAGAGAAAGTGATTGCTACAGCTGTGCTCACCACCGTCCCCTCCCCTTTGTACATTTTGTATCACTGATGGCAATCAGCAAAAGCGAAAATATGCTTACATCCAAAGACCTCATATTGTTGAGCTGTGCACTCCAAAGAGGAACATGATGAGTTTATTTTTTAAGACTAATCTGAGGGAGCTGGAACTGACTGCAGAGAACTAGCCCTTCATAATGAATTCATCTGTTCCAGTGTCGTATCCTAACAGGACTGAGCCCAAAACATAGTTAAAATATTAATTTATAATATTGATTTTTGGGACCGGCCTGGTGGTGTAGTGGTTAAGTTTGCAGGCTCCACTTCAGCAGCCAGGGGTTCGTGGGTTCAGATCCTGGGCGCAGACCTACACACGGCTCATCAAGCCATGCTCTGGCAGCATCCCACATATAAAATGGAGGAAGATGGGCACAGATGTTAGCTCAGGGCCGCTCTTCCTCACCAAAAAAAAAAAGAAAGAAAGACGGAAAATATTTATTTTCTGCTAGCACCTTTCACGTGAGCAATTCACAGCAGTTTCTCCACGCTAGGCCTCATGCTCCCTCCTGTAAGTTAACTCTCTCCCTGCCAACTCTATCTCTATTTCTCAATCCTTTCTCTCTAGAGGTGGTTTAGTGGAAATAGCATGGGCAACATAGATTGGAATGGCAGATCAACTACTTCTTAGCTGTGTGACCGTAGCAAGTTACCCAGCCTTTCTGGGCCTTAGTTTCCTCAGCAATAAAATGGAGGAAATGATGCTTGCCTAGCAAGGTTGTTGTGAGGATCCAAAATAATATATAAAAAGCACCTGCCACATTGCCTTATGTGCAATGAGTACTTTCAAATTGTGCCTGATTTTGTTATTGTTATTGCTCTTATAATTATTACCACCCTGGACTGTAAGTTCCTCAAATGTGAAAGACTATTCACCTGTCTATCTCCAGCTTGCACTTAGCAGTCCTCAGAATAAATGAGCGTTTAGTTAATGCTGGTTGACTGGATAACATTATTTTTCAAGACTCCAAGGTACCGTTTAGACCAACCCCTAGAATAATTATTAACTAAATGTTATCTGAATGGCTCTGTTATCTCACTAACCCTTCCACCTTCTTAAAAGCATGAAGGGCCATAATAGGTTTAGACCATTATGTAGATTTTTGAATACGATATTGTTGGGCAAACCACAAGATGGCTCCCTCTGGAAAAGTTGAATGTGAGGCTGTAGTAGAGGGTTTTCCATGAATTCCAATTTCTGGGGAATCGAAACTCTAGTGGCCACTGGCTTTTTATATGTAGATGTTGACAAAAGACATTACATCTGGAAGGATCTTAGAAGTCACATAACGCACTGGTTCTCAAACTTGGCCACATATAAGAATCCCCTGGACAGCTTTTGAAAATGCTGATCCCTCCGTTTTACCCTTGGAGATTTCAGTTTAATTGGTGTGGAGTATAGCCTGACAAAAGCTCGCCAGGAAGTTCTAATGTAGCACAAAGATTGAAAACTACTCATCCAATCCATCCCCCTAACATCTCAGGTGGGAAAAGGGAAGCACAGAGAGGTTAAAAAATGGGTCCTTTTTATAATAATAACACACAGCTAATTAGTAATAGAGGCGACTGAGACCCAGGTGTTCTCTATCCCGAAGCAACAACAGGCAGCCTCTTTTCACAGGCAATCTCTGGCCCTAACAGCTACTCTGGGTGAGGGTAGGGCTCAAGCAGCTCTGACTTAAGCTTACCCAGAGAATGGTTAGCATTGTGCACTTGAAAAATACGATGCATGATGACCTTCAGAGCTCAGATGAGGTGGATTTGGTGAGTCTGACCTCCAACTGCATTTTTCTCCATTTCTCTTTAGTAGAGGTAACAAGACATCCCTGTGGTAGGGACTTGGGGACAGAGGGACATTTGCTCATGTCCTGTCTCAGTCCTCTTCCCAGTTGCATGAACTTGGACAAACTGATTGATCTCCTCATCTGTAAAAGGTGGATGATACTATATATTCGTGGGGTTGCTGCGAGGCCTAAAGATGGGGTTATGTGAGTGGCCAAGGAGATTAGGGCCACGTCTCTGGCCTGCTTCGTGAAATTGCAAGGGAGGAAGCCCGGGTCTTCGGAGCTCCCCACTCCTGTTTTGTGCTTTTCCATTTCACCATAGCAACCTCTCTTCCGTCCCACGTGTTCTTCCTGGCTGTCTTCCCTCTCAGAGCAGAAAGGACCCATAGTAGAATCATTTACTACAGAACACAGAGTTTCCTATTGAAGTTGAGAGATTATGTAACTGAAGATGTTTGCATTTTAAGCTTTATTTCTAATTGTGGAAAGGAAAGCTTTGCTATCCCTGAAGGAGGAACCCAGGTCTCAGAGAGAGAATGGGAGCAAGAAGTGTGGTCCCAGGAGCCTTACCCACGCCAGGCCCTGCCCAGGTTCTGTGAGGAAATGTATTGGGTGAGGCTGAGCAGTGTGTCTGTGGGCACCTGTGGGTGCTGTGGCCCACCTTCTCAGGTTTTCCTCTGGTAGAGCTGCTGAGAGAATGAGAGGAGGGCCTCAGCCCTCCTGCCCAGATCAATACGGGGCCTTGGTGGCCTAGGGCTGCCAAAACAAATTACCACAAGCCAGGTGGCTTTAAACAACAGAAACACATTCTCTCACAGTTCTGGAGACCAGAGCAGGAAATTAAGATGTCAGCAGGGGGTGTGTCAGGGGAAGAACCTTTGCTTGCCTCTTCCAGTTTCCAGCTGCTTGCGGCCTCATCCTTCCAATCTCTGCCTCGTCGTCCCGTGACCGCCTCCTTACGTGTGTCTCTCTGCTGTGCGTCCGTCTCGGAATTCCCTCTGCCTCTCTCTTATAAAATACATGTGATTACATTTAGGGCCCATCCAGATAATCCAGGCTAAACGTCTACTCTCAAGATCCTTAACTTAATCTCATCTTTTGACATTTAAGGTGATATCCAGTCTTTTGCCACATAAGGTAATATTCCCAGTTTCTGGGGATTAAGACGTGGATCTATCTTCAGGGCCATGAGAAGATATCAAATCCTAAGTCCTTTCTCAGGAAGTATGCAGCCTCGTGCCCGGGTTTTTGGTAAAATCCATTCTCATTTAAGCTAAAGGGAAATTTGACCTTTGGGAGGTGGGTGGAAAGGGCATCTGTTTGGTGTAGACTCTGTGCAGACGCCCTGCGTAGATTACATCTGGATAAGGGCAAATGTTTACTGAGCTCTTAGCCAAGCCGGGCTCTGTGCCAAGGACTGTACCTAGATTAGCTCCTTTAATCTTCACGTCAGCCCCACGATTATTTTCACCCCTGTACAGATGAGGAATCTCGAAAAGGTTGTGACTTACCCAAAGTTACCTCAAGACAAAATGGCAAAGCGAAGATTCTAGCCTAAACCTGCTTGACTTCAAAACCCAGATTCTTTCTACTACAGTACTCTTCCTGGATCAACCATAAATTTTAATGAAGAAATAAGACATTAATGAAAATTCAAATGAACGAAGCGTATATTTTTATAGTCAGGCTGTTGTCTCATTGTGTGGTGGATTTTGAAACCTCCCCCCCCAATGCAGATGTGCTAGTTTTTATTTCCAAATTCTCATCCAAAATAGGAAAGCTAAACAAAAGAATTTAGAGTGCACAGATTTGCACTTTGCTGAAAAAGCAGAAGTTAAAATTCTGATGTGACAACCAGATGCCTCCAAAGGAAGAATAAGCAAATTTTGAAAGGGGTTTGGGATGAGAGCAGAGAAAAGGCAGGCAAAGGAGACAGGAAAGACAGGGAATGATTTGGGGT